ATTCCCCAGCACTGTTCCTATCCCCCAATTTCCCAATAAAAATCTTTAAAAAAAAAAAATGAAAATCACAAAGGATAGAGATGTTGGCCAAAAACTGATACAATCAAGATAGGTTTTATTGGGCTGGCCGAGTGGCGCGTTGGTTAGGAGTTGGCTTGGAACGCCAGCTCTGAGCACCAGGGCCCCGGTTCAGATCCCACATGAGGGCCAGTGACGCTGCGCCTTCTACAGCTAAGATGGTGAACAACAGCTCGACCTGGAGCTGGGCTGCCGTGAGTCACCGACAATGGCGTAGGAAAAAAATTAATTAAAGAAAGAAAGAAAGAAAGAAAGAAAGAAAGAAAGAAAGAAAGAAAGAAAGAAAGAAAGAAAGAAAGAAAGAAAGAAAGGTTTTATCCATCACCAACTCTCCCTAGTTAAATACTCAGGAGAATAGGCCCTATAACTCTACCCTGGAAAATTTGCATCACATTCTCGTTTATGCAATCCTCAGAAAACATTATTTTAAATTCCAAGCATTGATGGAGTTATTCAGATAACCCCAAAACAAAAATATCATAATCTTCAAAGCATAATCTTCGAATTCGAGCAAGTGGTACTTTTTGGAGAAAATATATTTGAAAGGCAGTAAGGTGATGATAATTGACCAAAATACCCAAGAGCGACTTCATACTAAGCAGTGCTGCAAATTTTACCCAGGGTTTTCTATCCACTCCATACAGAGTGCTGTGAGGGGGGCAATACAAGTGAAACATGGTTCCCGCCTTCAAGAAATGCAGCCACTGAATGAGAAGACAGAACCCTGTGATGAAGCAGAACAAAGCGAGGGCCACAAAGCCGTTCATACCAGGTACCATTGTGGTTCATATAAGAAACACATCATTTATGGGGCAAAAACTGGAAGAGGCTTACAGAACAGGTATTTATGGATGTAGAGGGCTCTGAACACTGCAGAGTGCAAGGATAAGTTTCCTTGCCCATTTAGAAGAAAAAAAAGGAATGAAGCCCACAGGCCATTTGCTCAATATGTGACCCACACCCTCTTATACCGGGGACAAGAAAAAAGGGACCTTTAGAGGTTTCCAGTCTTAAAGTGCTGACTACTGAAGTTGGCTCTTGAAGACCCCATAGCTAGACCCCATAGTGGGCATACGTGAGCCACTTGGCCAACCAGCAAGTATGTATTAAAGGTCTCTATCATGTATTCTCTAACTTCATAAATACCAAATCTTGTATTATTTTGTAAAGTTTACAATGTATCCCGTTACATTCCCCCACAATAGCAATGAATACGTACCCTCTGCATCTGGGAATCTACCCGCCACATTCTCAAAGTCTGATCCCGTGACCATGTAACCAGTTGGTAGTCCTTGGACCCTAGAAATCACCAAGTAAAAATCCTGGAAATGTGTTTGGATTCAACATCAATTTTGCTATAGGTTTCAATGGAGTGAAATTCATTCAATCATTCATTCATTCATTCATTCATCCATCCATTCAACAAATATTTATTTAACATTTCCTATATGCCAGGTACCATCCTAGGCACTAGAACTGCAGCATGAACACAACAATCTCTGTCTTTGTAGATCTCGCATCCCAGTGGTGGAAAACACCCAAACCAATAAATACATAATAAAATATCCAGTAGCGATAGTGTTATAAAATAAATAAATAAATAACACAGAGTAAGAGGACAGAGACTGATGGGGGAGCTATTTTTAGACCGGACTCCCTGAGGAAGTCACATTTGAGCAGAAACTTAAATGAAGTGAAATAATAACTGGCAAATTAGCAGGTGAAGAGTGATGCTGGGGTTTAATGTCACATTAAACTTTCACCTCCACAAATGTTCTTTTATATGCTCCAGAGGAGCTGAGGATGAATACAATATTTGTAAAATGAATTGTTTTAAATGCATCATGACATCTTACTGTTTAAAAGAATTGTTTTTTGGTAAAGAGGTGCATGCATTTCTTTATAAAATGAATAATCAATCTTTAATGTTCTTTGTCCAAATTATATTTTCACATATTAGGTCCGGTCAAAGGGCAATTATTCTGAAAAGGTTCAGGGTGCTTTATGAAAGAGCTTTATGAAAGATCAGGACATTTCAGGGTAATCATGTAGTATGTAGAATCTCCTTCATGGCCATCTTCAGAGAGCAAAGAATTTAGAAGTAATTTCGTCCAATTCCCTTGTTTTACAAATGGGGAAACTGAGGCAACAGAGAACACAATCTGTTCAAGCTAATAGGGTGAGTTCCTTCTCTGTGTCACTGCCTTCAGAGTTTTAATATAGCCCTGTATACACCTTCCTGAACTACTGCCTATTATGAGTTTTACCATCTAGACTCATGTTCATGTCAACAATTTTCTGACTCTCCATCTGGCCTCTTTTCATGTCCCTGATGTTGAAGAAAAGTTATGCCTAATTCCTTTCTAAACCCAACTCCTTTAGCGGTTACTTCGGCCCTATTCTATCTCCTTTTTAAACGGCCTTTGTTTCCCACATATTCCCTTCCTTGAATCTTCTCCTTGCCTTCAAAAAGAGAGGGCAACAGCCTCTGCCAGTCAACCTTGCTTTTGAAGGCAACTTCATTCACAAAACCAGTTCCTAGCTGCCTTACAACCTGGCTTCCATCCTCAAGCTGCTTTTGGAATGCCTCTCTTAATGATCATATGGCTTCCTATTTGTACAATGAAGCATCCTCTTCCTTTGGCTCTAACATCCTGATTTTCTAGCTACCTCTCTGAGAGCTCCTACACCACAGCAAAAACCAAAATCAAAGCTCAAGATATTCTAATAAAAATTGACTATTAAAAAAAAAATTTGACTACGAAGATATGGCAATATAAATTAAAATGAAAATATAGGGCCGGCCAAGTGGCGCGATGGTTAAGAGCTGGCTTGGGACACCAGAGGGCCCCGGTTCGGATCCCACATATGAGGGCCAGTGACACTGCCCTCCACAGCTAAGATGCTGAACAACAGCTCAACCTGGAGCTGGGCTGCCGTGAGTTGCCGGCGACGGCGTAGGCTGCAGCCCCTGCTGCAGTGGGTTGCCATGGGCTACCGTGTGTAGCCAGAAGCCAGCATGAGCGGCCAGCAGCCACCGTGAGCGGTCGTCCAGAAGCCGGCGACTGATCTGCCTCGGCCGGGAAGAGTGCAATGATGGTGCCAACATGGGACAGTGAAGCAACGTCCTCCACAACTAGATTGAAGGACAAAATGACAACAACTTGTCTGTTCCCCTTCCACCAATTCCCCAATAAAAATCTTGAGAAAAAAAAAAAATTTTGACTACGAAGATATGGCAATATAAATTAAAATTAAAATATAAGAATACATGCAGGATGATTACATTCATAAAAATTTTAAAAAACATGCACACCTAAACTATTTTGAGGGATGCATAAATGGGCAGTAAAATTTTAAAAAAACAAAACAGAAATCACTATCATAAGCGTTAGGATAATGTTTACTTCTGGGGAAAGAGAGGGGATTGTGATCAGAAAGCTTCTGTGATTCTAACAGTGTTCTCTTTCTTGACCTTGGTGGTAGTTACACAGATTTTCACTTTATAATAATTCGTTAAACTGTACATGTTTTATGCAATATTCTAGGTAGATGATATATTACACAATAAAAAGGAATTTTTTAAAAAAACATCTATCACTTGTACTCAAATTTTCGCTGCTGGCTAGACAGTCCCAATTTACACAAATCACCCTACCAGACATAGATAACTGAAAACGGGGAGCTAAAAACTTTTTATTTCAATCCCAAGCTACAGGCCAACCTCTCCCTGCCAGAGTGTGGGGAAACTACATCAGCTCTTCACTATGGCAAAATGCAAGAGAATAAGTTGAAAGCCAAAGTCATGCAAACTGATGGGCTAAAGATTAAGCAGCCTCATGTTTCCAGAAGCAAGAGAGATTATGAAAATAAAGACGGGAAGATTAGGAGGATGATCAAGTCCATTCAAGGGGTGGCCAGGTGGCTCAGTTGGTTAGAGCGTGTGCTCCAAACAAGGCTGCCAGTTCAATTCCCTCATGGGATAATGGGCTGCGTACCGCCCCCCCACCTCCACACCCCACAACTAGATTGAAAACGGTGACTGAACTTGGAGCTGAGCTGCGCCCTCCACAACTAGATTGAAGGACAACAACTTGACTTGGAGGTGATGGGTCCTGGAAAAAACACACTGTTACCCAATAAAAAAATTTTTTTTTAAATAGAGTCCTTTCAAAACAATCTGGGAGGGCAGGCTGAGTGGCTCAGTTGGTTAAGAGCTCACTCTCAAGAGTGTGAGCTCTGAGCAACAGGGTCACTGGTTTGATTCACAGCCTGAGCTGAGCTGCTGTTGAGCTGCCAACAGGTAGCAGGATATGGCTCAGCTAAAACCAAAAACCAAAAAACAAAAGAACAACAATCCTGGAAGAGGTTTATGAAGGTCACAGACAAGCTGGGGTAAGATGACTGCTCTAATCCCAGATCTACCGGAGACCTTTCCTGGGGTCTGGACAAGTCACACCACTCCACTACCTGACTTTCCTTCTGCAATATGGAAAGACCAAGAAATATACATACTTCATGTTCATGAACATATAAATGTTCAGTAAAACATTTAGAGCATGGCAATAACATCTCAAGAAAAGAGAGGCTGCAACTAAATTTGCATGGTGGGTTGGTGGAGAAACAGAGGTCGAGGGCTTCGTCACCCATTGTAATTCTTACCCCGTGTTAGTGAGGGCTGGCTAATTAAGTTGCAATAACAAACAACCCCAAATCTCAGTAGCTTCAAGCAAGGATTTCCTGCTCACTCTACATCTCCACCTCATGCTCCATCTGGAGTTTCACCAGTTCCCATGGCGGAGGCAATGAGAGCATGTAATTGCACACTGGCTGTTGACACTTCAACCCAGGAGAGACCGCACCAATTCTGTTCATGGTTCATGATCAAAACAAGTCATTTGGCCAAACCTATCTTCAAGGGGATGGAGGTATGCGTTTGTGAAGAGAAATGCGAGTCTGTGGTAGGCTGTGGTAATGACCTGGTAGGGTCTCCCTTCCCTCATCAACAGAATGGCAAGGGCAACTTCCGGAGGCTTCTCAGGGTAGCGACTTTTTCAGCCCTACAAATGATCCAATAGCAAGTCTATCAATTTCTTACAGATCTCTTTCATGCAGGAGAGAGATTACACTGAACCTAAAAGAAGGGGGAACTTGGAAATAGAACCACACCCATCGACGATTAAAGGTGGCGGGTGCCCCGACTCATTCCTAAAGCCCAGCCATTACAGTGCGTCCTCCTCGCTGGGTCACACAGCCAACCCTTACCGGAGCTGCTGCTGAACAAGGGCTCAGAAGGCAGGCAGGCAGCAGCCTTCCCTCTCACTCACCTTCCTTCTGTTTCCTCCACTGGAACTCCAGCACCACATCATCGTGCCCCACAAAGGTATGGACTGGGGTGTTCAAGTCAAAGACATTCCACAAGAGAAGGCTATTCTCCCTCCGAAGCTGGGGAACCATCACAGTCACTAATCCATTGCTGAAAGGCTACAACAAGAAAAGGAAAAGCAGGTCGTCATTCCAGGGAGATTTAGCTGAGTCGTCAGTTACCAAACTTGGAATTCTTTCCTAAAATAAATTCCAACCCATCTGGGTAACATTTTTCCAAATACCATAAGCTGACATCACATCTACTTTTCTTTTGGCTTTCTTTGCTTTTGGAAGGGACCACAGCAAGTAAAAATAAAGCTAAGCCAAATACTTGGAGAAGAACTTTTAAAATGCTATTCTAAAATGAGCAAATGGCTCTGACTGCTACACACTGAAACACACTGTTTCACATCCTAGCTACTGTCCCTGAGCTCACTCTAAGAGTTACTGGGTGCGTTCCCAGAGTAAGCATGGAAGGTACATTGGGGAAAAGCCCACAGCAGCAAGCATTAATTCCTGCCATGTGGAAATGCACCAGGGCATGAAGCACAACCTTCCCATTGCCCCCAAATATTACAACCACTCAAAGGAAAACCTTCCAGTCAGGTTTTATTTATCAACACCCAATCTGCTAAGTAGCTAAGGGGCCCATTTGATTGATAATTAGACTGTTCCTTCAGGAATAAATCATCGTCACCTAAAAAGCACATTTATCTCCATCTCTCCTCCTGGCAGCACTCCTGGACTTCTCTGTTTATTTTGTTAAGCAAACATATTAATCCAGAGAAGTATTTCAATTCATAAGAACAACGTCTAATTCCTTGACAAGTGCTCCCAGATGCAAAAGCCACTTAATACCCAAATTACCCTCTATGCTCTATCAAGCCCCCAGGTGACAGCCTAATATATAAAGGGAGCTTTATTCATCCCTGTGCTCCCTTTCAAATTGACACTAAAAGAAATATATTTCTTCTGACCAGCAGCTATCAATGTGGCAATGGAAAAACTGTTGGAAGGTTGATAGTAGCCTGCCCCCTATATTTGCAGCAATTTATGGTTTATAAAGCATTTTCATATAGTTTTTCAAAAGGAAGGCATATTGTGCGTGTACTAAATGCCACCAAATTAAACACTTTAAAATGGTGAATTTTATCACAATAAAAAAAAGGCATAGTGAAAATTATTATTCATATTCTACAGAGGAGAAAATACTGCTCAAAAACATCAGGTGGCTTGCTCAAGGCCACACAAATATTAAATGTTTCACTGTAGCATTATTCACAATAGCCAAGGTGGGGAAACAACCTAAGTGCCCATCAACAGATGAATAAAGAAAATGTGAGACACACACACACACACACACACACGCACACGGAATATTATTCAGCTATGAGAAAGAAGGAAAGCCATTTGCCACAACATGGATGAACCTTGAGAGCGTTATGCTAAGTGAAATAAATCAGAGACAGACAAATACTATATGATATCACTTATATGTAAAATCTAAAAAAGCTGAACTCATAGAAACAGAGTAGAATGGCAGTTACCAGGGGCTAATGAGTGGGGGAAACGGGGAGAGGTTAGTCAGAATTCAAACTTCCAGTTATAAGATGAATAAGTTCTGCAGACCTAATGTACAGCATAATGACTACAGTTAATAATACTGTATTATATACTTGAAAGTGGCTAAGAGATTAGATCTTAAATGTTCTCATGACCAAAAAATGGTAATTATGTGAGGCGATGGAAGTGTTAGCTAATGCTATGGTGGTAATCATTTTGCAATGTATAAGTATACCAATCAATACATTGTATACCTTGAACTTACATAATATTATATGTCAATTGTATCTCAATAAAGCTGCGGGGAAGGGCTGGCCAAGTGGCTCAGTTGGTTGAGAGTTGGCTTGGGAGCGCGAGCTCTGAGCAACAGGACCTCTGGTTTGGTTTCCACATGGGCCAGTGACACTGCGCCCTCTACAGCTAAGATGGTGAACAACAGCTCAACCTGGAGCTGGGCTGCGGTGAGTCGCTGGCGACGGCATAGGCTGCAGTGGGGCTGCAGTGGGCTGCCGTGATCTACCGTGAATGACCGGCAGCCGGCGTGAGCAGCCGGCAGTCAGCGAGAGCCGCCATGAGCCGCCGTGAGCGGCCATCCATCAGTGACCGACTATCCATCAGTGACCGACTGCCTCGGCTGGAAAGAGTGAAATGATAATACCAACATGGGCCAGTGAAGTGACGTCCTCCACAACTAGACTGAAGAACTAAAGGACAGCAACTTGTCTGCTCCCTTTCCCCGATTCCCCAATAAAATATTAAAAAAAAAAAAAAGCCGGGGGGAAATTAAATGGCATTGCTGGGCCTAAAACCCAGGTCTTCTGAATCTAAAGCCAGAGTTCTTTCCACCACAATCCACTGACCACAAGCCTCTGCCTCCATCTCACCTTCATAGTGGCCACCTTCACACAGCCCAGTTTCCCAATCTAGCTATGGTTAGCAACTCTAGTACAGATTCTTATCCAACATTCCAAGGGCCAATTTTTAAATAGATAACACCTTTTATGCCATCAAGACCACCACGGTCCCACCCCTAAATCAAGACAGAAAGAGAAAATTGCCTCACAAGGAAAATAAGAAAACGGCCCTTGGCCCCTTGTGTCTGTAACACCAAGATGGAAGTTCCCCAGCACGAGACTGGTGTCGCACTCACAGTGTATCTGGCCTTCCAGACAGGCACCTGGCAAGGGAGAATATTGAGGTATTTCCGAGGCTGGCGGTAATCCCAGAACTGGAAGAAAGAAAGCAAGATAATTTGTGAAACAAATGCCATTAAAAAAACTCAACTATTGAAATAAGCACAGCCTTCAAACTCATTCCTTTTTGTCCTGTAGAGATACATTTCAATAGTGCATTTTAGTCAGCCCCCACAGCCATGCTACTGTGACACCGACACAAAGGAAAACTCCCTTTCACTTTTATCAACATTACAGGAGAATTCGGACTTCATGAGGACCACCCCTCGGGGCAGATCACTGTCAGCTTGCCTATTAAACAGCCTTTGGAGTTGAAAGTTAAGAGTGACATGTTTTCACCCTGTATCACTTTAACACCGTGTAGGGTAATTTAACTAATAACAATAGCTGAAACATACTGACTACTTATTGCATGTCAGACAGATGTTTAGAGCTTCAAGCTTTTTATCCATTTAATCTTTACAACAACCATATAAGGAATGTCATTAATCTCTTTTGCAAATGAAGAAGCTAAATTACTAAACCATGTAACTTGCCCAAGGTCACGCAGGAAAAAAGTGGCTGTGTGACTATCTGTGCACCAACCTACTCACATATACACTCATTCACCCACGCCAGCCTAGAAGGTGTGGAACTTGAAGTGGCAGAATTACACAAAGGTGAGCCACAAACAAATCTGCCTTAGAGATGCCTATGCTTTTAATGGAGAGACATATATATGTACTTAGATCTCAAGCATCTGTCATGAAAGCAGAAAGTGACAGAGCACCAAAGGCGGGAGGACCAAGACTGAAACTCTGAACTATTTAGAGATTAGGAAATTATTTTCAAAAATAGATGCCACTCTGGAAAACAGTGTGGCAGTTTCTTAAAAAGTTCAACACACACATACCATATGACCCAGCGATCCCACTCCTACATATCATATTTGTCCTAGAAAATTGAAAACTTCTGTTCACAGAAAAATCTATACATGAATGGTTATAGCAGCTCTATTCGCAATCACCAAAAACTGGTAACAGCCCAAAAGTCCTTCAACAGGTCAACAGATAATAAGTTGTAGTATATCCACTAAGCGGATTACTACTCAGCAATAAAAAGTTTACAAACTATTGACTGTTAAAACAACTTGGATGAATCTAAAAGGTGCTATGCCAAGTGAAAGAAGCCAACCTTAAAAAGTTATATACTGCATGATTCTATTTTAAAGACATTCTCAAAAAGACAAAACTACAGTGCTGGCGAACCATCAGTGGTTGCCAGAAGTCAGGTGGTAGGGAATGGTGTGACGACACACGTAGGAAACTACATGAGGTAGTTCTTATTTCTTCTAACAACACTTTTTTGCCAAATTCAGGTCCCATGTTCAAAATAATAAAATTGTTAAGATGTCTTTTACATCTAAACTGCTTTTAGGTTTCCCAGAGAGCCACAGGATAAACTATAACTTGTTCCCTCAACTTATAAAGAAAGGAAACCAGAAATAATTAGGTATGCTTGGCATTCTCCAGATTTGTAATTAGCTCAATACTTTGTGAATGCTTTCCTGCTAACAAGTCCACCCTATGTGAAAAACTAGTAAATAAAAGAGAAGTTCAACCTCTCTGGGTTAATTATATACCAGTAAAATATTATCACTATGAATGCATTTCAGCAATTGTTTACTTTTCAGGTTGGAAATAAATGTACCCATGTTCATTTATAAAGACTGGCATGATACGGTAACTAACAAAATTAATCCTGTTTTTTAAAAAAAGGATTTTGTTTCTAAGTTTAAGTCTGCTCATCAATTGATCAAAATTACATAGTTGATGGGTTAAATTAGAGGACCCTGAGGATCTGACAAAGTCCTGTTTGTAACACATTCTTATTTTTAAGGAAATCGGTGATAGAGTCCAATATGTGAGTAGAGGACTTCACTGTTTCAATCTGATAGAGTTGGCTATTATAATAAATTAACCACAGTCATGTCATCCTCCTATCCATATTCATCTATAAGTGATTTCAGCCTTATCTACAAATTACTAAAAACAATGGTTGAATATTATGCAAAGTACCTCTAAATTACTTTACTTTTATGATTGTGTTATGTATAATGACAAACTTGAGGACCTTAAAGAAAGAGGCAGAGGTCAATTGGCTGGTTTCTTGTTCCTGAACTTGGGAGACAAAAACCCAAATCCCAAACAAACTAACAAACTAACAACAACAACAAAAAAAACCACGTCTGGCACATAAAAGTAAATTACAACCTAGGGGATTTACAAACCTCAAGACAGAAGTTAACTTTTAAGCCTTAGTATAATTCTAGGTTTGCTAACCATACCAAAAAGATGTTGTACACGCCTATGTAAATAAAACAAAGCATATAAGTTACATATAAATTATTGATGCTGAATCACAAAATTGCTAAGCAAACTTCTGTGGTCAAATCTCTGTCCTTCTGGGCAGAGACCTAACCACAAGGAGGAACCGTGGGACGAGGCTGACTCTGTGCCCTGCATCGTTTTAAACAGGGCGCATGCACATCACATCCCAATCGGAGAGGAACAACAACAGAAACACTGCATTCTGAGATAAACCAAAAATAACAGAGTCACCAAGACACATAAAACCTTGAGTTTTCCTGTAAGTTAGAGAATCTCTAATAAAAAAACTCTATCCCTGGGCCGGCCAAGTGGCTCAGCTGGTTAAGAGCTCACTTGAGAGCACCAGCTCTAAGCAGCAGGGCTGCGGTTCGGATCCCACATTGAGGGCCAGTGACGCTCGCCCTCTACAGCTAAGATGATGAACAACGGCTCAACCTGGAGCTGGGCTGCTGTGGGTCGCCGGGGCGACGGCGTAGCTGCAGCGGGGCTGCAGTGGGCTGCCATGAGCTACGTGAGTGGCTGGCAGCCAGCGTGAGCGGCTGGTAGCCGGTGTGAACTACTGGGAGCCGCTGTAAACAGCCAACCAATGACCAGCGACCAATTGCCTCCCCCAGGAAGAGCACAATGATCATACCAACATGGGCCAGTGAAGCGACGTCTTCCACAACTAGACTGAAGAACAAAACAGCAATTTGTCTACCTGTCTGTTCCCCTTCCCTGATTCCCCAACGCTGTTCCCCTCCCCCCCAATTTCCCAATAAAATCTTAAAAAAACAAAACAAAACTCTATCCCTAACTTTCGCAATGCTAATGTCTGAAGATGTTGTAATTTTGCAGATATGATAATCATGTGAGAAATTTTCCACCCCAGACATGCTAATCATAAACTTGGTAACCTTAACAATTCTGTGGGCTTTTCTCCTTTACTTATGTATCTGTTGTGTTTTGGTTTTTTTGCTAAGCCAGTCCTCCTGAAATCTGACTTCCTGCAACTTCTTTGCAAGTAAACTGCTTTTCCTTTCTAAGTGCTTTTGCCTCTGACTTCCTTTCATAAAGGGAAAGGAGAAAACCCTTTGAAGAAGGTCCAGGAGCCATATCCATATCCGATACATGCTATTATATCGTCACTCCTGCTGGTCTACATAACCAGGTGTACCTGCCCAGCTCCCCAAGAAGCACATGCACCCCTGAAAAGCACGCACTGTGCTAACATACTGTAGCTTTGCTTCCGACAAAAGCGCTGTCACACAATCTAATGCCTCCCGCCACTGCCCCAGTGGGTACCACTCACCTTGACAGAGTTGTCTTGACTGGAGGTAGCAAGAATGTGCTCACTGTCAGGGTGCCAGTCCAGGCCATGGATTTTGGAGAGGTGGGCTGCTAGATATTCCACTGCTATACTGGGTTTCTGCAAAGGATCAGCACTGAGTGTTGTCAATTTAGAAAGAACTTACTGAGTGTCTACTTAACAGTCTGCTAGGTACTGAGTAGGGATGCAAGAATACTACCAGACACCATCTGTATCCATAAGAAACTCCAGTTTGTTTTGTTTAAAACAAAACAACAACAAAAAGACTTATCCAGCTCTCCTTCAAGCATGCTCTATATATGGGTCTATGAGCCTAACTTCTTCCTGCTCCAGCCCCATGCATGGCTTTAAGTGAAGGATACAAGATAGAGGGAGTTTTTCCCATTTAGAAGTACAGTCTGCAATTCCCACTCTGCTTCCTCACAATCACCCAAGAAGAGGGCTATGACATCCAAACAGATCCAAACCTCAATCCTGAGGCTAAAACCATCAACCTTAAAGTGACCAAGACCCCAAAAGGGAATGAACACACATCACAAAAGAAAGTAATACATGGTTAATAAGCATATATAAAACACACAAACTCAGAAGGAAACCTCAGAAATATACATTAAAACAAGATTTTTTTTCAACTATCAAATTAGAAGGTATTTGTAAACAATATTCAATGCAGTGAGGTTGCATTTGTCACTGCTGGTGTATATATAAAGTAGTACAACATTTCGGGGAAAAATTGACAATCTTTATCAAGAGACTGAAAATTTTCCTCCCTTAAAGGAATATTCCAAATTCACAAAAAGCTTTAGATACAGAAGTTGTTCATCTTAGTATTATTCGGAACACTAGAAAACAGAAACAACACAAATAAGTGGAGAATAATTAAATTTTAGAATTAATTATAATACAGCTATCTGATACAATACAATGATGTAGCCAGTAAAAGTTGTAGAGATTATAATATGGGGAAAATGCATCTGTTGTAATCTTAAATGAAAAAAAAGTATACATAACTATATATATGATGTGATAAACCATTTTTTAAAAAGCATAAATAAGAAAACATCAAAATGTTAGCATTTGTCTCTAGGTATGATTATTATTACTATATCATTAGGTATTATTACTATATCATTGGGTATGATTACTATGAATGATTTTTATTTCCTCTTTCATATTTTCTATAAAGAGCATTTTTACTTCTATAATTAGCATTAGTCTATGAGGTTAAGAGTGCAGTCTCCAGAACCAGCCTCCCTGAGTTCAAATCCTAGCAACAAACTGTGCCTTAGTTTATTCATCTGTAGAATAGGGATAGAAATAGTACCTGCTTTAAAGGCTAGCTATAAAGAGAAATGAATCAACACACGTAAAGTTCTTAGAACAATGCCTGTTCATAATAAATGTTTAGTAAATGTTAATATTATTAGTCTACATGGGTTTGAATGAAATACAACATCATCGCTGATACTGCACTTTCTAAGCAAGCCTCTGGCGTTTGCTGCCATCAGTGCTGGTTTAACACTAGAAAGTGCCAGAGAAGTAAAAATATGGCCAACAAGTTTTATAATCCATCTGAGCAGAAGTCCTAAGTATCAATAGCCAAAAATAAAGTTAAAACCCTTTAAATAAAATAGATAAAAGGTTTGCTGAGGGAAGTCAGGGTTGCTAATGGACCAATCTGAAGACTAGAAAGGAACAGTTTGGTGGTATACTTCTACAAGATAAGGAACACAGGTACTGTTTTGGAAAACAGGTACTGACAGAGTTCATGACTAAATGTCACACTGTTTATTTTGCCTATGACTCTGAAAATAGTCTATAGAAAATAGGTATGCACTACAATTAACCAAACATTTTATTTAAACCATTTATTATATTTAAATGCTATGCTAGTGACAGAAGGAATAAAACCAATCATCAATTTAAGAAATAAAAACAGGGGAAGAATGACTGTTACCAGACTGGACTAAAGGAATAGAGACAAAAACTAACATATGGAAGATGGACCCATCCAACCTCTACTTATAAAATCACCTTCTCACCTAAGAGCTACTACCTAAGGCTAGCATACCAATTCAGCAGAATCCCAATCTCTGCTTTACATCCCTTGCCTCTCTCCAACTGTAAGACCTTCTTCACAGCTTGGAGGGGAAGACAGCAGGGCAGCCAGAAGCTAAGCTGAGACCTTCCAGTCAGCACCCGAGTTGGGACAGCCGCTGAACAATTTCAGGAAAACTCAAAGTAGGTGCTCCCCACAAAGGCTGAGGATCTCTAGCCTCAGGTTTCACAAAGCAGGAAGCAGTATTTATAGCCCAGACCTTACAGAAGCCGACTGCTCTGTACACTGTTACCCAATCATCTGGCAGTTAGAAATGGGGGAGGCCCCTTCCCTGAATCATTCTTCTCACGGATGCAAGCATACCAAATTTCCAACAGACTTTCCATTACAGCAGCAGCCTAGGACCCTGCACCTCTTTCATGCCTGTCAGTTATATGGGCTGCTGCAGGGAGGATATATGGTCTGTAAGTTCTTTGAGGATGAAAGGACAGCTAGGCTTCTAAGGGAGGATCTGAACATACTGAGTACCCTGCCTCAGTGATTTATACCAGAGGTATTCAGGATGGTCTATGTCCTAGAACAGGGGTCGGCAAACTGCGGCTCGCGAGCCACATGCAGCTCTTTGGGTACATTCTGTCTCAAAAGTTTGCCGATCCCTGGAAGAGCCAATACTGTCCCTCACAACAATTTAAAAATTATTCGAGAGCCATAAATATATTTTTACAAATAAGGAAAATTTAAAGTAATATTATAAATGAAACTATGATAGGTTTCATTTTCAATTTTACTTCAGAGCCACATATAGGTACCCAAAGAGCCGCATGTGGCTCGGGAGCCACAGTTTGCCGACCCCTGGCGGTTCTTCCATCTCAAAAGTTTGCCAACCCCTATACTAGAACAACTAGTTTTCACTTTGCAATCTGGGGCAGCTGACCATTCTAGAATAGTGTCGGGACCCCCCTAGGCTTGACCTCCCCCTCCATGATACACTTACTATTATTATCATCTTTACTTTGAAGATAAGTAAACGGAAGCTTGGTGAAGTTTAGTGGCTCACCTGATATCATACTTAGGAGGCAGCAAAACGGGACTCTAACCGGTTAAGCCAAGTTCATTTTCTTAACCACTGATCATAATGCCTCACTTCCCTATCTTCCATCAACGCCAGTTTGATTGGGAAGCAAATGTCATCTGGTGCTGTGATTTTAAAATGGCAATTCACCATGCTGCATAGACTCTCAAAGACAAGCCCTGCTAATCACATCCTCTTCTTACCCTGTGCAAGTGATTCAAGACCAATTAGGGGGAACAGAGAGATTACTCACCCGCTTGTCCCATATCCGTACATCCCCGTCATGACTGGTAGCAAGGCAATTAGCATTTTTTTTATTCCATTTGACCTGGGAGGCACCCGCTGCAAAGAAAAATCAGAGGGAGAAAGCTGCTGCCCTCAACACCTTCGGAACCCAAGGGGAGCATATCCAGGGGAGCTAGATAATGAGTTCCAGTGGAATACGCACAGAATTCTTCAGCTTTCTGTGGCTGCACCAGCTCCATCATTAAAGAAAAAATGAAGCCAAAAAAAAATAAATGAAATGAATAACACATGGGAACAAGATCGGAGTCACATAATTGAGAAAACACCTTCACTTAGAAAAAAAATCTAAAAGTTACCTCCGAGCAGCACCAATAGGGAAATGTAGTTTCCTAGAGAGCAGAAGCTGAGTGTGGCTCTGCTGGTTGGTAATTGACTCATCACACAACCTGGCCCTTCATCATCTCCAACCACCAGCTTGCGCTCCCAACCAGAAGAGCCTCAGCTCAATGCCTGCTCCTTCCTTTTTTTTTGAGGGACAGTAAAGCCCATAGCTGAAGCTCAGATGAAGAATAAGCCCCAGTTCTGCCCTCAGAAAGTTATGTGCACTCCCCACATCTCATCATCAGCAGTTACACATGTCTACTGGCACTGCGTTGAGTCAGAGAAAGGTAACATCCTGGCACTGTGTGAACTCAGGCCTTTCCCATTCTGCCAATACAAAGAGGTCACAATGACAAAAGAGCCACTTAAGAGAGGAGGCACACTGGAAGATGCCAGACGGGGCTGAGACATGTGGAAAACTGAGACATAACAGTAATTGTAGCTATCTCTTAAAAATAATTAACTTAATTAAATTAAACCAAAACCAAACAACAGCCCTCCCTCTCGCTTCTTCTTGTCCTTACTCAAACAATACATGATATTTCTACTTTGATGCCTCTCCCTTTGGGCAGGTGGTTATTACTGGAGACACCATAGTAAGTAGATCCAGAGCTTTGGAGAACAATCTGATCCCAGAAGTCTAGAGATATTAAAAGGTAAACAAAGAACTTAGGATCTAACACGAAATAGAGTTAAAATCCAGGACTTATCCTTGCTTGGTTTTGGTGAGGGTATTTGTTTTTGTTTTTTCCTCGAGACACAGGACATCTTAAGTCATCTAAGAACGAGTGGTAGAGACCCCTTAAAAAAGAAGGAAGGGAGTGTACTACTTATGAGACCCAGTTTTTTTGCAAGAAAGCATATCAGCCAAACAACAGGTAAGAAAAGTGAATATATATATACATATAGTCATGGGACGTGAGTATAGTGTGGGAGTGGAGTCAAGGGATTTGTAATAGATATGTATGATATTGGGGGGAAATGGGGTGGTGGATTGGGGGAGGGGGGTTGTCACTTGGAGGGGTAAAAAGTATAACTATTGTACTGTGTTGTACAGCTGAAACTAATTCTAAAAAAATGTGTATTTCATAATAAAAAATAAAAATAAATAAAAAAGAATGGGTAAGAAGGGCATATTCCATCCCCTCATGACAGTTACTTGAAAAGTTCCAAGAAAATACTTTTTCCAGTGTGTGTGTGTGTGTGTGTGTGTGTGTGTGTGTGTTGGAAGAAAGGGGGTCCATCAGGCCAGGAAGCCTCCCAAAGATTCTGAGAACCCACTAATTCAACCTGCTTGACTAGGGTCATGACACCAGGGTCAAACGGAGGTCCCAGACTGTAAGAGTTCCCAGACACAGAGAACAGTCTGGAGCACACACGGACATGCTCTCACTGGCTACCTACCCCAAAGGTATAAAGAATGTACTCCTGGGGCCTACCGAGTGGCACATTGGTTAAGAACTGGCTTGGGATGCCAGAGGGCCCCGGTTCAGATCCCACATATGAGGGCCAGTGACACTGCCCTCTACAGCTAAGATGGTGAACAACAGCTCAACCTAGAGCTGGGCTGCCGTGGGTCGCCGGCAACGGCGTGAGCTGCAGTCCCCTGCTGTAGTGGGCTGCCATAAGCTACCGTGTATAGCCGGCAGCCAGCGTGATCGGCCAGCAGCCACTGTGAGCGGCTGTCCAGAAGCCGGCAACTGATGTGCCTCGCCCATGAAGAGCGCAATGATGGTGCCAGCTTGGGCCAGTGAAGCAACATCCTCCACAACTAGACTGAAGAACAAAACAACAGCAACTTGTCTGTTCCCCTTCCCCCGATTCTCCAATAAAATCTTTAAAAAAAAAAGAAAAAAGAAAAAGAATGTACTCCTGGAGCTGGCCGAGTGGCGCATTGGTTAAAAGTTGGCTTGGGACGCCAGCTCTGAGCAGCAGGGCACTGGTTTGGATCCCACATGAGGGCCAGTGACGCTGCGCCCTCTACAGCTAAGATGGTGAACAACAGCTCAACCTGGAGCTGGGCTTCCGTGAGTCGCCGGCAACAGCATAGGCTGCAGTGGGGCTGGCCAGCAGCGGGCATGAGCTTTCGTGAACTGCCGTGAGCCACCATGAGTGGCCATCCAATGGCCGGCGAGCGACTGTCTCACCCGGGAAGAGCGCAATGACAATACCAACATGGGCCAGTGAAGCTACGTCCTCCACAACTAGACTGAAGAACAAAAGGACAGCAACTTGTCTGTTCCCCTTCCCTGATTCCCCAACACTGTTCCCCTTCCCCAATTCCCCAATAAAAAAAATCTTTAAAAAAATGTACTCCCAGAGAGGTAAGGACCACAGACGTGAGGAGCAGCAGTACCCAAGGCTGCACCTCCCAGGGAATGTTAGATGGGACAGCTTATAAAGGCCTCTCAGTTGTCTCTTTCTCCCAGGGCAGCCTTGCCACAACTGAGAAACCTTGCTGAGGCTCAAAAAAGAAAGAAGTCTCCTAATTCAATTTTTTGAAGGACCCATAAGAGAAAAGAAAGCAATCAGAATAAGCGGGCTGAAAAACAGAACTGTCTTTATTTTTAGGGTTGTTCTATGACCAATCTAACTTAGAAACCTGTTAAGGGGAAATAAAGTCAGAGGAATGTGTTCAAGGATTTATAGGCCATTTGTATTTTTATTCAGTGGGATGTCCTATGCAACCATGTCTATGGACCATTCTGTGTCTGAGACCATAAGTGCCTAAAAGGTGGGGCAAATAGCAGATCAATAGAATCATTAAGCTCTTAGCACAGAGGCACAGGTACATCCAAGTAACGAATATTTACGGAGTATCCCCTTAGGTCAGGCACACATGGTGACCTTGGTCTGTAGCAATGAACCAGACAGAGATGGTCCCTAATCTCACAGGTAATTCAGAGATGGTCCCTAATCTCACAGGTAATCCAGCTGCTTAATACAGTCGTGATGCTAAATGTCTTTAAATGATGAGGCATGGGAGTGCAGGGGAAAAGAGAAGACTCATGCAATCATTTTGGAATAAACACCAAATCAGAATTCAAATGTAACAAGAAGATACAAAAGAGCAGGATATAAGAGACAGATATGATATGTTTTTATCAAGAATGCCAAAATAGGGACAGCGGAGTGGCTCGTTGGTTAACAGTGGGTTTGGGA